AATGTTCATTTTTCCCTTAAATATTCTATGATGTTGGGCACCTAGGTGATTTCACTCCCTAATGAATAGCTGTGAGACCCTTGCCTGGCGTTTTGGCTGCCAGGACTATCAGTGAAGGAGTGATAGTGAAGGACTATCAGCCAAGCAGCCAGCTGGCTTGCCCTCACGACAGGACCAGCTGCTTTGAACACTCCTGAGACACCTGCAGGGAGTATGTCACAACCACGGCTGCTTACTCCAGAACCACAGCTCCAGCTCCTGAAGGCAGTGACCCATCAATTATCTTCACTAGATTTTGCCATGACGAGCCTGTCCAAACTATAGATGATCCCACAACCATTTACAGCCAAGCCAGAAGGGGGCGTACTTCCCTCAGTAGCCCCGAAGGCCTGAGACTGCTGTAACTCAGTTCTTCATTTGCTCAGGGGACCACAATGACTGGTGACATGAGGGACTGTGCCATGATTGGTGCAAATACCTTGTCACACCCCTTTTCTGGCTCTATAAACAGATTGTTCAGCTCACTTTGGAGATCACCCAGGAGACCTCCTTCTGTGCTGCATCCTGGTGCTAAAACATCGGGCTGGATAAAAAAGCTTGGTGTCCTTTCTTGCCTACTTTAGATCTTTATCGATGGTACAGCAGGCTGAGCTTAACATGAGAGAGGAGGACAGTGGAAACGGAAGCAGAGAGGTAGCATGGTAAAGTGGTGGCAACAATGAATTCAGTGGCTGTCACCCAGTGACCACCGTGGCCTTACCCATGAGAGAGCAACTGAAAAGTTCCAGAGTGAGACCAGGGCAGAAATGACAGCAAGGATAGGAGGTGAGAGAAGTAGGTCTGTGAAGATCTGAAGAGGAGAAACAATGGGCCCTGGGCATGGAAGGCTTCCAGAGAGCTGCTGAACCTTCAGAACCAAGGTTTCAGACACCCTAGGCCAAGGACTGTGACACTCGTCTCTGTGGGGCTGAGGGCTCCAGCACTGAGGCCTGTGTGACAGCTGCAACACTAGAAGGAGCCACTGTTGTTGTTTGCTGCTGTCTGCTGCCACCGTCCACTGCTGCTGGAAGCTGAGGATTGCAATAGCTGCCAAGTGCCAGGGCTGCTGGTGGTTAAAGGCAAGAGCGATAACCTCCAAGCCGAGTGCCTACAGCAATAATTGTCTGACTTCTAAATCCTCAGTCTGTTAGCCCTTCACTCTCATGGCTTAGGCTGTAAGCCTTTGGGATTACAGCTGGCCTCTAGGCCTGGGCACTCATGGGCCCCAGATTGCCAGCACTACTGGAGCTTCTCCTCGCTTCCCCATGATTCCTACCTGACTAGAGCAAAAAGACCCCAGTCACCATTGGTAACAGGTTGAGTAAAAGAAGTGAGAGCAGACGTGGTTGTCAGGTTCACAGTCTTAGGGGAAAGGTTTCTGATTTTCACCACTAAATACACTGTTAACTGTAGGGTTTTTGTACACACCCTTTGGTCACTTGAGAGCATGAAGAGTTCACATAAGCTGGCAGCAGTGGCTCATGCCTGTAATCCTAGCTACTCAGGAGGATAGCAGTTCTAAGCCAGCCTGGGCAAATAGTTCGTGAGACCCATATTGAAAAAAAAACTATCACGCAAAAGGGCTGGTGGAGTGACTCAAGGTGTAGACCCTGAGTTCAAACTTCAGTAGCAGGAAGGAAAAAAAGAAAGAGTTCACGATCACTCAGGTGCTAACTCTTTTACTCGTCCTTAACCCACCTCCCTCTCTTCTCTCAATTTTAGATCCCTTCAAAGAGCCTTCATCATCAGTTTTGATTGTCCGAATGTTTTTCTGTTTTCTGTTTCATTTATGTTTGCTTCCTCTTTTGGTGGGGGGAGGGGTGGACTGGGGGCTTGAACTCAGGCCTTCACGACTGAAAAGCAGGACCCCTACCCTTTGAGCCACACCTCCTATTTTCCCTTTTTGCCTTATTGCTTCCTTCCTTCTGCTGTCCTCGGGTTCAGTTGGTTCTTCTTGTTCTGCTTTCTTAAACTGGAAGCTAAGGCCACTGATTTCAGACGTTTTTTCTTTTATCACAAGTCCAAGGGGAGACAGATCTTAGCACTACTGTAGCTGCATTTCAGAAAATTTGATAGATTATATTTCACTTTCACTCAGCTCAAATATGTTCTTTTTTCACTTGTGATTACGTTTTTAATCTTTGGGTTACTTAGAAATGTGTAATTTCTAAATATTTGGAGACTTTCCAGATGTAATTCCGTGTTGATTTCTAGTTTAACTCCATTGTGGTCACAGACATACTTTGTATGAATTGAATTCTCTCAAATTCATTAAGACTTACTTTACGACCCCAACATTCTTGGTGAATGTGGACTCGAGGGAATGCATATTCTACAGGACAGGTATGGTGGCTCACCCCTGTAATCCAAGCACATGGAAGGTGAAGGTACGAGCATCATGAGGGGCAGGCCAGCTTCATTTTGAAACTCTGTCTCAAAAAATGCATGTCCTGTGGTTGGGCGTGCTAGTAATGTCGTGTCACATTGGTTAACAGTATTGTTCAAGTCGTCTCTGCCCTAACTAAGCTCTGTCAATCATTATTAACAACTGTTACAGTCACTGAGGGAGGACTTTCCAGTTCCTGAGTACCAGCACCTGTTCGTCTGCTCCATCTTTAGTTCTGTAATTTTGTCTGTGTGTATTTTGTTAGTAAATATACAGTAGTATGTCTTCTTGCTGTTCTAAAACATTCTCTTTGTCTTTAGTAGTAATTTTATTGTGAAAATCTAACAACTGATTTTCACTTGGCCACTCCAACTTTCTTTCACTTAGTTTGTGAAGATGTCTTCTTTCATCCTTTAACTATTTTTTTCTGTTGCTGTTTTTGCAAACATTGTCTTGCTATAATAGTCCAGGCTGGCCTTGAACTCTTGATACTTCTGCCTCTGCCTCCCAGGAGCTGGGCTTACAGGCATGTGCTACTTTTTTTTTTTAATCTCTTTTTACATAATTCAGTGGGTTTCTAGTATTCACCATACAGTTGGGTTCTGTTTTTTTATCCAATCTACCAATCTCTGCTTTTACTTGAAAGCATTTCTATCATTTATATTTAATGTAATTGTTGATAAAATTAGGCTTAAATATATGTCTTTGTTTTCTATTTTGGTTTTGGTTTTTTTGGTGGCACTGGGGATTGAAATTCAAGCTTCAAGGTTTATACATAAGTGTTCTACCACTTGAGCCATGTCACCAGTCCTAAATTTATCTGTTTTCTAAATATTTAATTTGTTCTTTGTTTCTCTGGTTAAAATCAGAATTTTGTATTAGTTTTACTCTGCTGGTGCCCTACTAGTCATACCTCATGTATGTTTGTGTATGTGTGTGTGTATGTGTGTATGCTCAGTGAATGCTATAAGACTTATAGGTTAGGATTTTTTCTTTACAGAGCTCAGATTCAAACTTAGGGCTACACACACACACTAGTCAAGTGCTGTACCACTGAGCTATATCCCCATCCTATAATTTACCTGGTTTTTTTTTTTTTTTTTTTTTTTTGCAGTACCAGGGCTTGAACTCAGGTCATACATCTTAGCCACTCCACCAGCCCTTTTTCTGAAGGGTTTTTTCAAGATAGGGTCTCACAACTATTTGCCAGGGCTGGCTTCAAACCATGGTCCTCCTGATCTCTGCCTCCTGAGTAGCTAGGATTACAGGCGTGAGACACTGGCATCCAGCTTGTAATTTACATTTTAACTTTTCACAGTCCCAGTCCACATTCAAGTAATATTACTCCAATTCACATATAGTACAAGCCCTTTTTTCTTTTTTAATGGTGCTTGGGATTGAACCCAGGGTATTGAGCATAATAGTCCACAGGCATTTCTACCCTATATTCACCTTTTGCTCTTTTGTTGATCTATTTTACTTCTATCTTGGTACAGTAAATAATAATAATAATACATTGTGCTTAATTTTGCATTAAATGGTCAACTTCCTTTGCAGCTGTTTTGTGATGTATAGCTTTTGCACTGTGAAGGTCCCCTTCCTAGTGCACAGTGTGAAAGTGTTGACAACTGCCCTCAGTCACTCAGTCACACCAGGATGAAGATACAGAAGAGTCTCATCACCCAGGACTCCACCTGAGCTGTTCCTCACCTGAGCTGTTCCTCCCAACAACAGCCCGGGAACCTCTGGTGTCCCGTCTCTGGCGTTGTCTCTGCAGGAGTGTCACAAATGGAATCTTCTGCACCTGGCTTCGTGGGCAGTTGAGGGTCATCCCTGTGAGTGAACTGGGCGCTCACTGTGTGAGCGTCCAGTTCATGGGTTTATCCATTCTGCAGTGCAGGGACCCTGGGTTGTTTTCACTTCTTTAACTTACAATAAAGCCACCATGAACACCCTGCGTAGGCTTTTGTGTGACAAAGGTTTTCCTTCCCCTTGGGTAACAGCTAGGGATAAGATTGCTGAGTCATTTTCATTACCCTAGGGTTATTACTAAGGAAATAAGGTCTCTGATTATCACAATGTCAATAGCGCCTGGTTATCTTTTCTTTCTTTTCTTTTAATGGTGCTGAGATGGAACCCAGGGCCACCTGCATGCTAGGCACGTGTTCTACCTTAGAGGACACGCAAGTAGCCACCTGTAAAGTCCCTCCAGGAGGGTTCAGAGACAGCCCAGGAGCTAGGCTGAGAGAGGAGGGCGACAGGGCACAGAGGCCAGAGGAATCCCAGGCTTTGATCTTTGGTTCACTCGGAGTCCTTGGACGCAGCTCAGCCGTGGGCACCTGGGACCATGACAAGGGGTCCTGCGGGACTCCAGAGCCATGCTGAGGAGGCCGGGTGCCAGAGCAAAAAAAGTAAAGCAGGAAGCCGCCTGCGCCAGAGTGCACGTTCTGCCCCTCCCTCCGTTCTCCACCCCTCCCCCTCCCCTCGCTCTCCCCCGCCCCCGCCCCAAGTGGGCGTGGCTCAGCTGCCTTCTTAAAGCCGCGCGGGGCTCTAGGAAGTTTATGCAGCCCACGTCTGCTCACCAGTGCAACTTGTTTACGTCCCCAGCCTCAGTCGCCATGTCCCGTTCAGTGTCGCAGGCCCGGCCCGCCACCGTGCTGGGCGCTATGATGATGGGGGGCCGGATGGACGCGACCTCCAGCGCCGCGGCCGTGCGCGCCTTCCTGGACCGCGGCCACACTGAGATTGACACGGCCTTCGCGTACACCGACGGCCAGTCCGAGACCCTCCTGGGCGGCATGGGGCTCGGGCTGGGTCGCAGCGGCTGCAAAGGTAACCCCAGCCCCTGACCTCCCAGTGCCGCACAGAGAGGATCCCTCCCAGCACAACTTTGTCCACCTTCCAGGAGGCTGACCTCCCCCAGAGCTCTGTGAACCCCAAGCTTCTCAGCTTGTCTACCGTTGGATAACTGGTCCATGCTTTCTCCTGACTCCTTTCCCTTCCTCCCAGGAGGAGGCCTAAGTACCTGCCCTACAGGGATTTCCCAGTCCTGGGCTAGCCTGGAACCACTTAGCTGCCCCTCTGGGGGGCACTGACAGGGTTGGGAATCGGGCACTAGGCAGTCTGTCCCTCCTCTTGGCCTCCTACATGCACGCAGCGCCTCCTCTGCAGCAGCCCTGTTTACTGCCCCAGCATTCCCTGGCACACCAGCAGATCTTCTCCTTTGTTCATGCCACCCTTGCTCATCAGGGCCCTAGACCTTGTTCTGGTGGCTCCCAGTGCCTGTTGGTTTGGCAGTGGCTGGTGCTTCTCCAGGGCAGTCCTGGGAGCTGTAGTGACCCCTAAATAGGAGTGTGGGATAGGAGTGTGGGGGGTCATGCATGTGCCCTCTCTGTGCCAGGCTGTGTCTGAGGCTGGAGGAGAGAAATTGATGACACTACTCACACCAGAAAGCTGGGACTGTGAAGTGGCTGGGGAGTTGAGAGGGAGCACTTCTCAGGAGAGAGTCATTGAAGAAAGCTGCCTTGAAAGGGAACTTTAGACTAAAAGAATGGGTAGGATAACAGGTACAGAGGACTCTGCGGTCAAGGCCAGCCTGGGCAAAGTAGGAAGACCTGGTATCAAAACCAAATAAACAGTTAGATCCTGGTGGTTCACACCTAATTACTAGCTACACCTAAGTAGCTAGTAATCCTAGCTACTTGGGCTGAGATCAGGAAGGTCTTGGTTCAAGGACAGCTTAGGTAAATAATTCTGAGACCCCATCTCCAAAATACCAGAGGAAAATGGACTGGAGCTGTGGCTCAAGCAATAGAGTGCCTGCTTAGAGAGCACAAAAACTTCCCCCTCAAACAAGCAAAAAAACTAGGATGACAGGACTTTGTATGATGGAGAGGAGAAAGGGCATTTGGGGCAGGGGACATGAATAGGCAAAGACAAAGCCAAGGGGTCGGAGAGGACATGTGTGGGAACAGAGGAGTGTCCCTTAATGGTCTGATGCCATTTGAAGTCTTTGCAGGCACAGAGTGAGGCTCAGAAATGCTGGGCCTATAGGAACCCACACCAGGCAGGATTGGTTACTTTGTTATTGTTGGTTAGGTACTGGATTGAACCCAGGGCCTTGTGCATTCTAGGCAAGTGCTGAATCATTTGTATCACGCCCCCACCCATCCTTGGCCTGTTTTCATGGGTGAAGTCTCTAGCTGATCTCTCCCTTTCCTTCCACTCTGGGGAAAGTTCCCTATGAGACGTCTACAGGCTCTTTCCAGAGTTACTGCTGTACCCTCCTCGCTATTCTCCTCTTTCCAGACCTGCCTTCCTCCATGTTGCACTCAGGTCATCTTCGTAAACTACAAGGTTGACCACACAACTCCCATCACAAATGCATTCAGAGGCATGTACAGCCCTAAAGGCCAGACTCCACGGGGCGCTCAGGGCCTTTTGGCATCTGGTCTTAGGCCCCTTCTATTACCCATGACCCTTACTGCATAACTGGTGCTGTGACAGTGGACTAGCAGGCATGGCTTCCACACAGGGAGTTCTTGCCCTGGGCTTTTAAAACCTGTGTTGGCTCTGAAAAGAGCTTCCCCCCCTTTCCTTGCCTGTGGCCTCGGCCCTGCCTTGGTGATTCACACAGAGATTCTCAGGATGCTCCAGGCCCATGATGCATCATGGTATTCATCTGCCTTCCTTGATCTAAAATGACCCCTTAGACTGCTAGTCCTTGAGGACAAAGAGCTTATTCCTCTCCAGCTCAGGCGCCAGGCACACCTACCTTGCTCCATACATGAACACTATAGTGAAAACCTCACCAACACTTAAAGACCACTCCTGCCAAGTCTGCTCTGTCCTCAGCATGGCTCTATGAAGCATTAGCATTTCATTCCTGTTTACACTGAGAAGACTGAGATCCCCAATTTGTCCAGTAAGTCAGGCCACACGCTAGTAATGGCAGAGCTGGGACTTGAACCTACACACCTATTAACAATGTATTAGCTGTCCTGTCTGCTGCTTAGTAAAGGGTCCTGAAATTCCATTTCTCTACCCAAAAAGTGAAAATTGCCACCAAGGCCAATACATTGGATGGGAAGTCGCTGAAGGCTGACAGTCTGCGGTTCCAGCTGGAGACATCATTGAAACGACTGCAGTGTCCCAAAGTGGACATCTTCTACTTACACATGCCTGACTTCAACACCCCTGTGGAAGAGACTCTGCAAGCCTGCAACCAGCTACACAAGGAGGTGAGGGTAGCCCCCTGGGCTTTGGGAAGGAGGTGTTCTGTGTGTTTCTGTCCTTACCCTGACCCTACCAGGAAAGAGAAGCACCAGGGCACCAAAGGGTAGCTGGTGCAGACCCCACTTCCAGGATCCCCAACCTGGTGTCCCCTTCCTGGTCTCCTGGGCTGGGCTGGGCTGGGCTGACACCAAGCCTTTCTCCTACAGGGAAAGTTTGTGGAGCTTGGCCTCTCCAACTATGCTGCCTGGCAAGTAGCCGAGATCTGTACCCTTGCCAAGAAAAATGGCTGGATCATGCCCACCGTGTACCAGGTGAGCAGTAACTGCTGTGTTAGGCAGCTCTGGTCTAAAACACCAGGACTATGCTAATCTCGGGTTCTCCTTGCCCCTGGAACTGCCCCCTGTGCCTCCACATAGCAGCCACTCCCTGCTCAAAGCCTATGGATGGCTCCAGGTGCCCTCAGAATGATATCCAAGTCCCTCAGCCTGGCCTCAGGCACCTGCTCCCTTCCTGCCTGAGTACACCTTGGTCTCTTCCTTCTCTGCCCTGCTCTGCTCTGCTCTTCAGCCTGCCCTCTGCTTTATCTCCTCCTCCCCATTCCCTCAATGAATATCTGAACACCTGCTCAGTGTCAGTGCCCCTTCGTTATTTCCACCTGTTTACAGTCTACCTTACAGAGGGCAGAAACTTGTGTCCTTTTTGCCGTATGCTTCTAAATCTGTCATCCCATGTGGCATCAGTTCTCTTAAGTGTGGTCTGAAGGAATGTCCCTTGGCCTAAGCCCCTTCCAAAACCATCACTAGGCATATGCCATGGTTGTCGGGGTCCTAGGATTGTTAAAAACTGACCTGTGATTTTACAAGACACATTGGGATTCGTTTTCTTGCCTCTCCACCCAGGGCATGTACAATGGAATCTCACGGAAGGTGGAAACTGAGCTCTTTCCCTGCCTCAGGCACTTTGGATTGAGGTTCTATGCCTTCAACCCCTTGGCTGGTATGGCTGCATGGGGACAGCCCCTCTGTGCTGGGTGGCATTCCTGGGTGGACCCTGCCTATTCCTGCCCTGATGGATGCCCAGCCCAGGCCCAGGGGTGCAGGAGGGCTTTGCCAAGGTGTCTGGCTGTATCCCCATCCATCCATATACACCTGCTCCGCCAGTCCAGAGCTGTGTGGGGTCTGGCTGCCTTGGAAGGAGTCTGGGTCAAGTCTGATTATCTCCTTCCCACAGGGGGCCTGCTGACCGGCAAGCACAAGTATGAAGACAAGGACACCCAACAGCCTGTGGGTATCTTCTTTGGTCATCGATTTGCTGAGTTCCTCAGGAATCGGTGAGCTGTAGGGAGGGGTGATTTCACAGTGGTAAGTGGCGTAGGTACTGTTAGTTAAATTAGAAAATCCCTGAGGCTGCTTTCCTGGGACCAGTCCTTTCGCCAGTGCTGAGACCTGGCTTCCTTTGCCTCCATCACTTACTGTGGCGGCTCTAAAGTATACACTATGTTGCCATTCTTTCATACATCAAATTTTGACGTCTGCTATGGAAGGCTGGAGAGCTCCTGTTTCTAGACTTGCACAAACCAAGTCTATAAGGTTGCTTCAGTGACAGTGCGATCCACTTGCCTTTTTCTGCCCATGGGAGGGAAGGACATCCCAAGCCACACTTCCTGCAGGAGGCTCCATTGCTAGTTTTGTTGCAATGGCCAAGGACATAAGTGGGAGCATCTGATATTTACAGTCCCCTTGTGTACACTGCTGTGATTTAAATCTTTATCTGCCTGAGGTGCAGCTCAGTGGTAAAGCACGTGCCCAGCATGCATGTGGTCTTGCATTACATCCCCAGCACTGCAAAGAAAAACAGAAATCCCAAACCCCTTGTGTGCACCCCTCCACCCAAGGAGTTTGCTATCCTCCTAGCTGGCATTAGGAACCACTGCCCTGACCAGTGGCTCTTGAGTGGATTTTGTACACTGCCAGGGCCCAGGCATCTCCCTGGGAGAATCTGGAACTGGAGGTCTTTGCCACAAGTTCACTACAGTCCAGAATGCACAATCAGATCCTCACCTGCTGTGGTCACAGTGTGGAGCTGGTGGGGACTGTTTCTTTCCCTCTCTGAGCTGATCAGCGAGGGCAGGGCAGGGAGATGGCTCAGCCAAGGCCCCAGAAGCTGCAATGGAGCTAGGACTTGTCACTGGTTTTTCTGAAGCCCAGGGTACATGCTATCAGGAGTTGTGTTGTAGCACTTGAACAGCATGTGAAAAGCCACAGTTCTTGATCCCTTATTCCTCTCCAACCCCAGACCAAAAAAACACCTGGTGTGTGAGGAGCCCAGAAATCTGTATGTGTCTGATGGGTGGAATGCCCACCTGGGGACCCAGGCCCCTAGTGCTGCAGGAATTGGGCTGCCCACCAGGGACTCCACAGTCCTGACCCCTGTGCCACACTCCCCACCTGCTCAGGTACTGGAAAGAAGACCACTTCAAGGCTGTCGCCCTGGTGGACAAGGCCCTGCAGGTTGCCTATGGCACTAACACCCCCAGCTTGACTTCGGCGGCCCTGAGGTGGATGTACCACCACTCCCAGCTCCAGGTAGCCCAGCATCCCTTTGTGTTCTGGCAGGAGGCGGGAGAGGGGCCTTGAGGGCTCCGGGGCCATTTGGTTACTTCTGCGATGACTCCTTTCCTTCCTCTCAAGTGTCTCTGTGGCCCGGCTCTTATGGGTAGAAATCCTGCTGTTCCTAGAGAAGTCTGAGGTGCCTGGTTATAAACGCTTTCCTACAAGGTCCTCTTCAGTGTGGTGGTACTGAGGTTTGAACTCAGGGCCTCACTGTTGCTAGGCAGGTGCTCTACCCCCCAACCCCTATTTGCTTTAGTTACTTTTGGATAGAGCCTGGCAGAGGCTACCTCGTATCCCACCCAGGGAGCTGGCAACTCAGGTGGGAGACACCCCAGGAAACTTCATCATCCTAATCTTTACATAAGGAAACTGGCTCAGAGGCTAGGGTCACAGGCAGGCGAATAAGCATGGATTTGACTCTGAAACCTACATTTTAAAAAACAATTTGCATTTATTGTATCCCTTCCTCCCTGCCACCTAGAAACAGAACCCACTGTGCACTTGGGGCTCTTCTCTCCCTGCTGTTCCTGGTTAATTTCTCTCATCCCTTTGTCCAGTGGGGGCTTTCTATGGTAATGGGTCCCCTTCAGTGAGCACCTGGTGAGTGCCAGGCCCAGAGCAGAGTACAGGATCTGTAATTCCCACAACCAACCTGCAAAGGAAAGGCAACTGGCAGCTGAGTGGTCACCCGACCACCCAACTTTGCACCGGGCTTCCTGGGTCAAATGGCTACCACTGCCTGGAGCCAACATAAGTTCTTGCTCAGATAATACAGGCTCATGCCTATTACCCTAGCTACTTGGGAGACTGAAATCAAGAGGTTTGTGGTTCGAGGCCAGCCCAGGCAAATAGTTCCAGAGGCCCTCATCTCCAAAATAACCAGAGCAAAATGGACTGGAGGTGTTGCTTAAGTGGTAGAGTGCCCTTTTTGCAAGTGTGAAGCCCCGAGTTCAGACCCCAGTCCCCCCAAAAAATGGATCATGTTGGCAGAGGTAGAGCAGGGAGTGTGGGTGACTGGAGCCACTTGGTAAGAGAAATATGTTTAAGTCTGGCTGTCCATCCTTGTAGGCCTCTCATGGGGACGCGGTCATCCTGGGCATGTCCAGCTTGAAGCAGCTGGAGCAGAACTTGGTTGCAGTTGAGGAAGGGCCCCTGGAGCCAGCTGTCGTGGAAGCCTTTGATCAAGCTTGGAACCTGGTCGTCCATGAGAGTGACAACTACTTCCGCTCTCCTGACACCATCTACACCTCCTCAAAAGTTTGATCTTGAGCTGATTCAGCTGATTCTTTCCCCCTCATCCTTGTCCCACATTTGTTGTCTTCTGTTTCCCTGCAATCCACTCAGTTGCCCTCAGTGCGAGGCTGGCTGGGCTCTGTTCCAGCATTTCCTGTTGAATAAAGCTGGCCCTTGACCTGGCTGCAGCCAGGCTGTGTGGATCTGGTGACCTTGTTCTTTCTGTCGCCCTAGGCCTGTGCTCTGCTGTCCTTCTGAGGGGGTGTTGGGAAGACTGGACACTGATGTCATCAGAAGCACAGGCCGAAGAAAGGTCCCCCCAGACCCTGTGCTCCTGAATCCAGCCTTTCTTCTTGGTAGTGGCTGGAGGGGGCCTCACTACCTGTCCATGATGGAGGGCCATGAACCTTCTGTCTGAAAAACTACCAAGGTTTTCTCTGCTGTCCCACCATAGTCAGCAGATTTTAGACACCAGATATATGTGTTCCACCCACAAGCAAATAACAACCAATTCTGCAGCAGTGGATACCAGCTGAGTGTCCTCTACTTCAACTCGGTTCCCATACCTGGTGCCAATATCAGTTCCCACAGGTGAGGGCTCTGTCCCAAGACTGAGCTGCACCTGGGAGCTTCAAGTTGCTTTTTTTTTTTTCTTTTTTTGATGGAGCTAGGATTGGAACCAATGGTTCACAAGCTTGCAAAGCAGGTTCTCCACTGCTTGAGCCACACCTCCGGTCAGTTTTGCTCTGGTTATTTTGGAGAAGGGGATCTCCCCATTTACAGGGGCTGGCCTCAAGCTCTATCCTCACACTCTCAGGAGTAAAGTGTGAATCACAGGTGCCTGACTTCCATGTTGTTTTCCTGTGGTTCTGCCCACCGGAACAAATCGGGGCTCCCACCATCCCCTCCACAGCTCATAAGCAACTCACAGTTTATCAGGATTTTTAAAAGACAGATGAAGGGATGCCCATCTGTATGGCCCCTGTGGGTGTGTGACTCTCAAGGAAGCAGCACCTATCCTGGAAGTTCTAAACCTTGTGCTTTGGGTGGTTTTATTTGTTGTTGTAGCTTTTTTGTTTTTAGAGAGGAGGCTCTCTGTGTAGGCCAGATGGCCTGGACCTTGTGATCCTTCTGCCCCAGCCTATGGATTATTTGGGATGCAGGTGAGAACAGACTCCCTTAGCTTCCTGTTGGGTCTTCATGGACGCTCACTATATGCGTGATTGCTAACAGACTGGGTGAGGAAACCTCGCAAGGCCCCTCTATTCTGATCCCCCTAGCCTCTGTGTGCAGCTCAGCTTCCTCCAGGCTAGAGGGAAGATTTCATGAGGAGGGTCTTATGATCTTCATGCTATGATCTGGCATCGCAACTCTGCAGGTCAGAAAATCTCTCTTTTGCTAATGCTGGGGTGCAGCCCTGGGCCTCATCCCATGCCAGTCAAGCACTCTACCACTGAGCTGAGCCCCAAGACTCCATAGAGTATTTTGCAGTCCTGAGTATCAAACTCAGGGCCTTGTGCAAGGTAGACAAGTGCTCTACCACTGAACTACATTCTAGGTCCTTTTGTGTGACTACGTAAAACCTAGCCTCCAACTCCAGTAGTGATTCTACTCATCATAGAGATAGACCCCAATTATAAAGACATCACATAGGCTGTTTTTGTTCAAGTTCTAGGGTGCTAGCCTATCAGGTGCAAGGCCCAGCACCATCAAAATAAATCAATGAATAGGTCACCCTGTCACTGCAGTCCTGGTGACTCCCCAGACTTTTGATGTTAGGGGGATAAACCTGGCTAAGCTTCCGTTGCCCTAGCTGCAAACAGCAATAACATCACCTAGTGTCTATGTCACAAGGATGCTGGGGGTGGTTAAAAAAATACATATGAAACGCTTTAGGCAGGGCAGGGCACATGGTAAGATCAGCACAGCTGGAATTCCTCAGGATGGGAAGTTTTACTGGTGGGGGTCTTCCTGCTGCTGGAGAAGGGCTGAGTCAGCACCTTGGTTTTTTAAACACTGTGCTCCCCTAGCAAACAGTCCTATACCTACTTCTATAAACCAAAGCAGCACAGGCTCTAGACAATAAAGGAACAAGCTCTTACCTCTTCTATCGGGTTCTGTTTCAGTTCCAAGCCTTTTGGTTAAGGAAACTGATACAAAGAAGAAAAAGAGTTGGTGAGAGCTGAGTCTGGATGTCCTGGAGACTTCTTTTCTTCCCCTTGAGGCTCAGCCTGACTGAGCCAGTGTGAGGGAGGCAGGGAAGCGAGGCCTTGGCTGTCATCACTCCTGGTAAGTGAGGCCAGGAATGTGTGTTTGTAATCTTCCTTTAGATTCCTGGGCTGGAGATGCATGGACACACCTCCTGTCCCCCAAACTAAGTGTCCCTCAGTGCTTAGGCTAAGGGCCATCCATTATAGGGTGGGGGTGGGGCCCGTTCCTGTTGATGCCTTGCTCTCAGTGGCAGCCCTGACTGAAGCAGGCCCCTCTTGCTCTTGGTCTTGGTGCACAGAGGTCATCAATGGCTGTCCTGTGCTGAGGAAATGATGACCCTAGGGACCATACCTCTCCTTCCTTTTCTTTCCTTTTTCTGAGACAAGGTCTTATATAGTCCAGGCAGCCTTGAACATAAAATTCTCCTTCCTCAGTTTTTCTACTGGAACCCGTGGATGCAGCGATGCTTCCTTGGGGAGGAATAAGTGCCTCTACTTTAAAAGTAGCTGGGCCATTTTCACCTATTCCCTCAAGGGTTGGCATTTGGGCTGGTGAAGTGTCTCAAGTGGTACAGGGCCTGCCTAGCAAACATGAAGCCCTGAGTTTAAACCTCAGTACCACCAAAAAGAAAGGGTTACATTTGCCAAGTCTGATTAGGGCTCTCGCCATGGAATCACATTATATCACAAGCATTTACCAGAGTGCTAACTGCAAAGCCTGGGTGACCTAAGTGTCCTGGCCCCATCTTTTTCATCCTGCCTGGCACTCACTGTCCCTCTTTACAAGGCTGACATAGCCAAAGGTAACCAAACCAGCCAGGGTCAAGTGCAGCACAGAGAGACAAACAAAAGAAAACAGGCACTTCCTATGTCACTGCCATAACTCTGGTCTCCTGGTTGCAATAGGCTTTTGCCAGTGTCATCAATCACTCCACCCCATGAAGGGGGAGGGGACTTTATAGGGCAAATGGCAGTGTCAGCCAGCACATAGAACTGTGTCTGGAAGTGAGGAAGAGACTCAACTTGGAAATCCAAATGGAGGAAATATTCCAAGACTCTATTCTAAGAAAAGTCTCCTTTGGAGTGTATAGGGAGACACCCTACAGACAGTTCACTCCTATAGAGAGAACTCACCTTTCTTTGTCTTCACCTATGACACAGCACACTGATCCTCATGTGAGGTGGTGGAACTAGTGATCATTGTACAACACGTCAGCAGAAAGTTGAGTTGCTAAATGTGATACCATTGCCCAAATTGATCCCATGGTTCAATGCACTCCCTCAGTGCTTTCTTAAAAAAAATAAATAAATAAAAATGAAAAAGCAGAAATTGAGAAGCTGGTCCTGACGTTCATATGAAGACCCAAATAGCAAAAACACCCTTGAAAAAAAAAAAGTGCCAAGACTCACATTTCCTAATTTAAAATGATTAAAAAGCTGTATAAATGAGGATGGTGTGGTTATAGCATAAGGATAGGTACAGATCCGTACAGTAGAATGGAAAGGCCAGAAACAAACTGTACCATTGACTTTCAACTGGCTTTAGAGAAGCATGCCAAGATAATCAATGGGAAATGAGCCATCCTCTACAAATGGTGCTGGGCAACTGGTGTCCCCATGCAAAGAATGAAATTGAACCCCTTCTCACATCATATGCAAGAGCTTAACTCTAGAGGGATCAAACACATACATGCAGAAGCTACAACTGTAGCAGTCTAAGCAGAAAACGCAGGAGTACATCTTCAAAACCTAGATCACACAATGGTTTCTTAGCTATAATGCCAACAGGAAAAAAATAGATAAATTGGACGTTATCAAAATTTAGAAGTTTAGGGCTGAATGCAGTAGGGCTTATGCTTATAACACTAGCTACATGGGAGGCAGAGATCAGGAGGATCGAGATTCCAGGCCAGCCTGGGCAAAAAGTGCCAGAGACCCCATCTCAGCCAATAACAAAGCTGAGTATTGTGGTGCACACCTGTCATCCACACTACCCAGGAAGTGTAAATAGGTGAATTTCAGTACAGGTAGACCAGGGCATAAATGCAAATCCCTATTAGAAAAACACTAAAACAAAAAGCTCTGGGGGCCTGGCTCAAGTGGTAGAGCACCTGCTAAGCAAGTTCAAGGCCCTGAATTCAAACCACATACATTCAGCCGCCCCCCCCCCGCCCCCCCCGCCCTCCCCATCCCCCCACTTCCCCCCGCCCCTCCCACCAAAAGAAGAAAGAAACAAAAAAATCCAGAAGTTATTCAGGTACTGCCAGCAGTGGCTCATACCTATAATCCTAGCTCCTCGGGAGGCAGAGACAGGAGGGTCCAGGTTTGAGGTCAACCTGGGCAAATAGTTGGAGAGACCCTATCTCAAAAATACACAATACAAAAAAGGACTGAATGTTTGGCAGAGCACCAGCCTAGCAAGCATGAGGCCCTGAGTTCAAACTCCAGTATCAACAACAACAACAAAAAATCAGAAGTTTACGGGAGAATCAAGACTTTGATGCCAACAAAAGCTTTGTGGTTCAAAAGACACAATAGGGAAGGTGAAAAGACAGCTCATAGAAAGGGAGAAAATTAATCAGTTATCTTTAAGGAACTTGTATTAAATACACAGGACTCTTAAAAATTAATGAAACATAGAAACTCAAACAATGAGCAGAGGATCAAATAGACCACTCCCCAAAGAAGATCTGCCATTGAAATAAGCTTACGGAAAGTTACCCAACATCACTGCTCATCCATCAGGGAAGACCAATCAAACTACTTCACACCCATGAGAATGGGGAGGTAAAAAAGTCAGCGCCAAGTGTCGCTGAAGGTTTGCATATTTCCTGATGGGAATTAAAATGGAGGGATTAGTTTGGAAACCAGTGGCAGTTTCTCAAAAGATTTAAAATTAGAGTTATTGTATTTCACTTAACACTGAGATCTGCACCAAACTAAGCTACAAGCAATATCATCTCTACAAAAAAACAAAGATACAGCAA